TGCAAATGAAAAGAACCTGAAAAACTGCACTCCCAGGAGCTGCCGTTCTGGTTCTGTTTAAAAAAACATGTCCCCCACCAAATGGTAGAGGTAAAGAGTCTTCCAAATCCTGACAGAGCTCAACGGTTGAATTGGGTGAGTGTAATGTTGACTTTTGATTGGATCTCAACCTCAGAACCCTGGAGATAATTGACCATCCAGGTCGGGGGGGGTTCTATTGATCAGCTGTCAACACCCGTTGACTCGTTGACCCTGCTCTCGCTCGCTTCTCGTCAAGCTGCGTTGGAGGCGTCATACGCGCAACGCACCACGGAGGTCCTGCTCATGGTCTAGGACAGTGAAACGCAAATAGGAGCAATATGGCTGTCGGCTGTGGATCAAAACCTGGAGCCACCCTGGTTGACATTCCTGGTAGTCCGTTTTGTTCATATTCTGTGGTCAGCCAAGGTCCCCCGGTTTTCCCAGCCATATTTCTTTATGCGGGTTGTACAAAGTTGTATGTGTTTTTGTTTCATTGGACCTTGCCCTATCGTTTTGCAAGGTTTCATTTCCATTTCCAAGGCTGATTCATGTTTCTATGTTTGCCCTCCGGCCTCTTCGTGGCAAGCAGGTCCGTGGCAAACAGGAACTCACAAACGAACACCAGCAAACCACTTGTATGCACTTCTCAGATGTTTGTCCTATAGAACTTGTGGCAAACCACTTTGCCAAAACATAGACCAATAGCTCTGTGTCCCTGGCGACTCCCTCCGTCGGACTCGAAGATTTCGCAGTCCATCAGTGGTTGGTCGTTACATTTGTTGATAGTCCATGACCACGTTGATAAAGTTCCAAAAATCATAAAAACCTTGAGACCCCTACCCCTTCTTCAAGGTCTTCCTAGGATTGTTTCTCCGCTATTAGGAACGCATAGTATGAAAGCTGAGTTTAAAACTATAATCAGTCAATGGGGACAATCGTGTCGTCCCTCAAATGAGGGATAGAAAACACATCTGAGAAAAGGGGGCAGGTTACGGTAAGTATACTCTGTGCAAATGACATGGGATCCTCCCAAACAGTTTTTGAACATACAAACCGGGATGACATGGTGGAACTTCATGCGACCTGACAGCAAGCATCACCAACGGCTCCTGCCGTTCCGTCCGGCGGACGCGGCTGACATGGCCACTACCCCGACGCCCAGGGCCGCCATGCCGGCGGCCATGCTGGCACTGCCTGGATGGTGTGAGGGGTGTAGGAAGAGTTTTTGAATGGATCATAATGGATCATTTCATCGATCTAAGAGCTGACTCTTGACATCTCTTGACAACACCACTGGCCATAGAAGAGCGATCAAGATCCGATTGTTGTGTTGAACACGAAGGAGGGCTTGCCCGTTACATTTGTTTGTCCTTGTTGAACAGGGCTTGTTGAGTTTCTTTGTGTAGCTGAAAACGCTTCGACTTTTGACTTATGTCGGATGATTCTTGAATAAGCTTGCTACAAGCTTGCTGGGCGTCTTTTTATTCTTATTCAGATCCAGCAATGACTCTTGCCCAAGCCATGGCTTCATCCCAGAGTGGTGTTGAGGGTGGAGGATGGCGAACTCACAAAACACGCGGACGTGGAAGCCGCAGCCATATCATCCTATCCTCACCTGAGATTTGAGTCGATGATTGTGCTCAAGACCGTCTTTTCTAAACATGTTCATCCACGTGTTTGCCATGAATATCTTGAGGACATGACTTGGATCACAGGGCTCTCCCACTTTCATCCAAGTGGCCTGTAGGTCGTTCCACGGAAGAATTGCCCCTCAAGGCGGACCTGGCGCCCAGCTCTGGCTTGACAAATGCAGTTTCGATTGAGAAGGGATGAGGCTGTGAAGGGTATGAAGCACTTGGTATTTTGGGTCAGCCCACTTTTGAGATGAACAGGAAGTTCGAGAGCTGCCCACGTCATTTTGCGTTTTCGCTTCCAAACTGAGAGCATCCGGGAAAAGCCCGTGCTGAAGGTCCGCGGGCTGTGGAGCTTTGGAAGGAAGAGTATATATATATATAGTCATCCTGGAGTAGTTTTTGTTAATACTGGAAAATCAAAAGACAATAGGAAACTGGCCATGTTTTTGGATTGGTTTATATTCATTCATTTTCTGTCTACTTCAGGATGGTTGTATGTATGTGTATATATATACACACATAACTGGGGTCGCCCGCTTGGGAGGTGGAACCATTTGAAGCCTTGAAGAAGAATCTCTGACTCCAACTGGGCAGTCGTGTGAATTGCCTCAAGGGTGGCCAGAAGTGTGCCTATGTGCATCATGTCTATAGCTAATAATTATATAGATACATATAGATACATAGTAATTAGATGGACTCAGTGTTTGTTGGAAGAACTTGGTCTGCCGCTGGTGCAAGTGGATTGGAACTTCTCAACCACAGGAATCCACAGCAACCACAATCAAAAAGTAAGTTTGGTGGCCAGTTGGCGTGGTTTTCCATGCCAAACACTCCGTGTATGGGAAAACCATTGACATATGACCTCGGGTCAACACCCCAATGTTGGATCATGTTGGTAAATAATGCTAACTAGTCCACTCCCATGGAGTCATGAGTCATTGGCCACTCCCAGGGAGTCATTGGCTTTGTTTTTGAGAATGTCTGGAAGCCAACGGCCAATCGTGGTCGCCTGCGATCGACCTTGAACATCATGGAGCATGACACGAGCGTGTACGGGGGGAGGACGAGCTTCTAAAAAGCAATGAAGAAAGAGACATTGCAGTCCGCTGCCTCCCAGTCACTTTGAACAACACATAACTCCACCACCAGGAAGCACCTCTGCTGCATGCCGCTCGGCGCGACAAAGGCGGAGGCAGCCATGAGGGCTGCGGCGCCGCTGACGGCGGTGGAGATCTTCGACATGGCAGGCATGACCTCGAGAATGGTGAGTCAGTGCTACAGGCTGGACCATGAACTGCTAAGGCGAACCACAAGGGTATATCAGACTGGTACAATACTAGAATCCTGCAACAAAGCCTGGGCCCAAAAACCAAACAACAAGGATGTGGAACAGCATGCATTAAATTCATCAAATTAAACTGGCTACAAATAGTGTCAAACCTCAATGAATGCATATAGTCATATATAGAGAGAGCACCGTATAACTGGTTCTCAAAAAAGAGACCACCGCCTCTCCATCAACAAAACGCTCCGCCTAACATCAGTCACCTCCGGTCGGTCAAACACTGAGAAGACCGATTGCCGCTCGGCGCGCCGTGTTTGCGCTGTGGCAAACTGGGGAAGAAACTCGTTGGGATGGAACTCTTCAATGAGTCACCCGTAAAAGCACCAGTGGGGCATTCTAAGTAAAGGCCCATGTATCTCGAAAATTAAGATCTCCACATGTGAACAACCGTTTTGATGGCTCACTGCAAGCAAACATTCAAAAAGGCTTACTCGCTGAAGTTTCTGCCCAATGAGCTCCACTTGGAGCACAACAAAAAGACATCCTTTGCTTTGTGGGGAGCAATGCTATGGGTCGAAGGTCCACTACAGGTGAATGCTTTCCGCTTGCATCGATTCTATTCGGTTTGGATCATTTGATCAGTTGAAAAACCCTTTGACGTCCGTTCTCCGCTTCTTCCTTCAAGGAACGACTGCAGCTCGGTGGGTCGTCGAATCAAAAAGATCGGCTGCGGGGGGAGCCGTTTTCTGCGGGGACGCGGAACAAAACTCGCATAGCTGCACCGACCGTAGCGGAAGAGAAACGACTCACAAGAAAACACAGTCCCAAACAGGCTGGTCTACCAAGTGATCGTGGCAGACTGTCTAGAGGAAGCTGTATGCAACACGAATCAACAAATTTACCGTTCTATGGGTCTTCAGAGTTTCAGGTGACAAACTGCACAGGAGAACAAGAACCATAGTGGACCTCAAAAAAAGCCGGATATGCCATAGACTGGAGAATGTCAAAATAGGTTCGTAGATAGAGCCAACATCATCACATAAATGTCAAACAAATAGGTCTGTTAAGGCCGCTGTTTGCTGGATGTGTAATTGCTACAGCTATCTAAAGCTCAAAGGGCCTAAGATGGCACATGTGTTCGGCCCCACGGAAGCGGGACCAATACAAACCACGAGGATGTCCAAAAGCAGAAGGACGAGGAACGACATGGAACGACCATCAAGTTTGGAGGAGCGGCCAAGCTAGACATTGGGTCGCAGTTCCAAAGCGTTGCTCTTGGAGGGCAGGGTGCCCTCTATGCAGGCACTTCGGGTCTAAACACCCCTTTGGAACACTTCTGATAAGTCTGTTATGTTTCTTGGTCTGTGGCTTGTCACATCTCTCCTGTGACTCCGCATCATCGAATGACAGGAGCGTTTGTTTCAACTTCACCATGCAAGTCACAAGGGTTTGTCAACGAGTCGACATCATGCTTTGAAGGCAAACAGGAATGTACACTCTGCCTCATTGACATGGAAACAACCTGTCTCCAAAGGAACATACGTAGTCTTCCAACAGGTCATTGCCCACTTCTACGTTAGTGTGTCAGAATGTATGTATAAATACAAACACCAACTGAAAACTCACAACGGTTCCAACGAATCATGACAGAGACCCATCCAAATCATGAGATGACCAATCCAAATGACTTGGACCTACCAAACTAAATGACTCCACCTCGCTACAGTAGTGATGTCATAACATCTAGATCCTGGACCTAATGCTTGGGAGGCTCCTTTCTACAAAAAGACCCATGAGATAGGACAGATTTTGGAGGTCCTTCTTCCTCTGTGCACTCATCTTCGCATCTGCCTTTCTCTTTAAATGTGAAACCTGTTTCTTTGCACTCGAGGCGATGACGACTTATACAAGATCATTCCATACACTGACCCAACAAGGGCGAACAAGGCAAGTGCAAGGCGCTTCTGCTCCCAACCCTCGCAGTTCACGCCGCTTCTGTCTTTTGTATTCGGCTTCCATCGGCTTCCTTTGGTTTCCTTCGGCTCATTTGAACATCCGTCTCAGTCAGCTTTCCTGACGGTGCACAGAGATTGCCCATTCCTAGACCAGAATCCCAGACTGGGTCCTAGGTGTTTCATGGTGGTACCCCATGGTCCTTTGTGGTGCAGTGTAGCTCGTCAGAGCCTTCCATGCTGTCATATGCCATAAGTCTTAAAAAGGTTTGCTGAAAAAGGTTGTGAAATTCCACTCCCAATGACCACGTCGCTTATAACCATCCCCAAATTAAACACGGATATTGTCGACAAGACTTCAAGACTTTGGAAAACATGTCCAAGACAGGCTTCGCTTTGCCCAATTGGATCTCCGGGTTTTTGGACATGGAAACCAAAAAAAATAATCTGTGATACGCGTCAACAAACACAACAAAGGAAGTGGAAAAGGGTCACGGTCCCGGTGAAGTTGTTTCTATCACAGCAGGGGATCGTCTGCTTCCATCTTATGTCAGAGCGTACTTATTCTTTATTTTAATTTGATCCAATAATAACCTGCAAATCATAGTTGGAAGGTCTGGAATGGCATCCTGAGGCATACAAAAACTAGTAAAACGAACCAACTTTCGCTGTTGGCATTCAGGTTGTCCCTAGACTGCACTTGGGAAGGTAGACAGGAAAACAAGGATTGCAAACTTAAAACCTCGGAGTCCTTAAAGACAAACACAAACTGAAAACTGAAATGAGCCTCCGGAACGTCTCCGCCCCGTGAACATCTCTGCTGCGTTTTTCACCAGTTCAGTTCGGGTGTTCTTCGAAAAAAGACACCTCCGGAAGGAGCAGCCCTCGGTGAGCCGTGCCAGGCCACCAGTGGGCTGGCAAAGCATGACCTTGTCGAGACGGAACATCAAGCGAACCGAGCAAACCGGTCAACACACCAAAGCGGGTTCTCGCCTGAACCGGTCGACGCTCCACCACCGCCGCCACCGCCACCACCACCACCCAAAACGAACGATCAGCAATGTGCATAAAACACCGCAAATACAAATAAAAACCAAAATAGGTAGACATGTTGGGGGGGTACCATATATTTATACAACATATATATGTATTATATATATATATACATATTTAGAATATATACTGTATGTGTTTTTTTTCCGAAGAGTAGATCAATTGATCCTTTGGCCTTGTTCCCCAATCCAACGATCTGGGATCTTCATGGATCTTCCATTGGTGTCTGGTGTCCAGCGCTCCGGTGTCCCGGTCCTATTTGGATGTTCCCACATTTGGATGGTGTCCCCATGTGTCCCCACCATATGGTGTATTGGAAAAGAGGGAGAACCCCCCCGATGGCTGGGTAGACTCGGGTAGACTGGTATAACTACTGGTATATATTTCCTGTCTTCCGGGGGGTGGTTGCCTGGTCTCGGTCTGCCGATTTTCGTACACACCCATATTGTCTATGTGGTCCAGTCAGGCGCACGGCGCATGGCAACAAGTGAATCCAACGAGCAGGGAATGCGGACTTTTTTGTGTTGGCTCGTGGGGTGGATGACTGGGATACTTCAACTATTCAGTTGGGATGGTCGAACACGTAGAGTAAAAACCTGCGAAAAAGAATAACAATGTTCATCCAGGTACCCGCACATGCCCAACAACAATCGATTCATGATTCATGGAACTTTGGGTTTTGCAAATGCTTCATTGCAGAACAGGGATATATGTCGATTGAACTGGGAGTATGTAGAGTTTCTGTCCACCAATTTAGTCTAAAAGCCATGAAACAATAGTTTGTGTCGCTTGATGCGCTGGATGAAAAGGGGTTTCCCCATGTAAATGTGGCCACCCAAACCGCCCAATCTTTGGACATGTCGGGTTTGAGTTGTCCCACAAAATAGTGACCTTCGAGATTCTGGGACTGCTGCTGTTTGAGAGCAGCCTTTGGTTCCCTCATATTAGAAATATTCAAGAAACCTCGGTTGATGGAGAGAGACAAATACACGTTCCAAGTTCCAACCAATGGATGTATTATGGTTAGTGCATTCATACCTCACCCAAACACTTTGTGCATGGCAGATTTTTCAACATAGGCAAGAACATCCGCACATGGAGTGTCGGAATGGAAAGGGAGGCCACTCCTCTTCCTTCCTTGTGTTGGCTGAAAAAACAATTGCCAGGCACCCGACGTTGCAGTTTCCACACAAGACCACTGTCTGCGCGTGGCTGAAGACCGTGGTGATCTGCAGGCGACAGCACACAACTGGGGCGAAGTTCATCACTGGACCAAACAACAACACTGATTGATAGTCATCGCATTGAGCCCGGTTCTTCTGAAAGCAACCAAAGCAACCACATAAACAGCAAAAAATAGAAGTTTTAAAAAAGAAAAAACAACGTATGAAAACAACAACACCAACACAAACAGCAACAACAACAACAACAACAACCACGACAACGACAATGACTCGACAATGACAACATCATCATCGTGACACTGGCCCAAACAAGAGGTGAAGACGGGGTGTTCCATCAGGTTGTCTGTGTAATTTATACTCTGTGTGATCGGCTGCAACTACCCGTAATAATAAATGATGCAAAGGTTTGAAACAAGACATACCGAGATCAGAGCTTCAGGAAAAGGGATTGCTCGTCAAACTCGGTACACCTGTGGCGCCTGTGGCCCCAAGCTCGATATTCGCAAAAGAAAAAATCCACCACCACCACCACCATCACTACAACAACATAGCAGCAGCAACAACATCGAGAACAGGAGCAACAACATGCTGAAAATGAACATTGGCAAGTAGAACCATGAACTGCTGCCATTGAAACATGTCTTTTGCACAAGACCTGCAGCGGGATCCTTTTAGTTACCCTGCGAAACCATGCGCACATCGTCATCACCAAAGGCGAATCGTCATCTCTGACGTCTCAACTTTTGCACAAATCGCGCAATATTCCCAACACGGACGGCTTGATAATTGATACCGTTGTCTCAGCTTCAAAAGGGAGGTGGGCGTTTGGGACAGAATGAGAGGCGGTGGACGTTTGGTGTTTTTCCTGCTCTGACCCTGAGCGTCGTGATGGAAAAACACCTGGACGTGGGCAGTCGATTGAAAAAGCGCTTCCACTTAAGAGGCTAGAAGGCACTGCCCCAGTTGGTAGCTGTGAAACAAATGTTCAAACGGTGCACTCCGCAAACAATTTCCTGGTCCAAAGTTGGTTCACTTTTGGGCTCTCTTTTAAACCTCAATAAGTCCCTGCACAGCCTCCTCCCTGGTGCAAATCCTGCTTCGATCATCTTCGACACTTCAGGCATTTCAGTAACCTGATCTTTAACACTCTGCCAAGATTCTTGAAATTCGAATTCGAATTGCCTTTCTTGTCATTTATTTTCAAAGTCTGAGCAATCGTCATCTGCATTTGCATTATAGTTTGATCTCGCGCATCGAACCTCTCCGTGGTGCGGCGGATGCTTTGAGCATTCGTAGGAATTGTCCTGGGTAAGTGGCATCTTCTCGAGGAATCACAGGCACATGGTGCGCACATGGCCTCGACTCGAGGCAGCCCACTGTCCTGTATGAGGCCCCAAATGCCCCTTGCTGTTGCATCATTGATGGCCAATTTGAAGATAGAGAGCTCCATGTCACAATGTCCATCCTCTTTGTTGTTGGCAGCGGGCTGTTTTAAGTCAGCGCTGTCCATCCGGCCCTTGCCTCGTTCAGTCCTCCTTCTAGCGGCACCTTCCTCCAAGGTCGGTGAACCACTGCCGCATGTCGGTGAAAGAGGGAAAAGGAAGGGCGCCATCTCTTTGCAAGTCTTGGTGGCGACTGTGGAGGTACGTGGTTGCAGGTCTTCTGGGTCGGATCCTGATGTTTTAGGAAGCATGGTTGGCGGCACAGGGCCAATCGGAGCAAAAGCACGCGGCGAAATGCAAATGTTTCCTCGCTTGCTCTCGTTTGTTTCATCACTGGTTTGCCTTTACGTTTGTTCTCATTTGCGAATTCATCACTTGCTTGCAAGCAAAACAATAATTGTGGCACAAACAAAGTAATTGCAAAGTAATTGCCGTTAAACATTATATATAATATGAAAGGTGTCCGTCTCGCTGCAAAACATTACACAGAAAAACACAAAAGCTCGCAACAAAAACACATGACGCCAAAATGACGCAGAAGTGACCAACAAGTACGTCTTTTGCAGTGTATATACATACAACTGTGCTTCCCTTACACGCTATATCCTAGACTGGGGTGTGGGGAAACCTCCCACTCCCATGTCCATGTCCATACCCCCCTAAGAACTGCAGAACACAAGAATCCCCATTGTGGCCAGTGCCTGAAGGCAGCCGGGGCACTTGACATCCATGAAGAAGCCTCGTTTTCGGATGCTTTTGGACGTCAAAGGCACGTTGCCGTGGTGCTGTGACGGGTAACATGTGTATATAACAGTACTGTATAGTATATTATAACAAGACACCTCACTCACACTGGAGTTCACGTTTTTGCACTGAAATATGGATTCCGATCATTTGATGCGAGCTGATTTACACAAAAACAAACAATTCGAGCACTTGCCTGGGTGAATATCAAACAAACAGTTCTCACCGGATCATACTTTGCGCTTTGAGGTTGCTCCAAGAACAAACCCAAAGACCACTGCAATATACTGAAATCATCTGAAATCGATCCTGGAAACCTGGAAACCTGGCTGCGAGAATGGCTCACGTGACGCTCACAGGGCGTTTTTGTGGTGAATCCGTCCTCGGCCTCAGAAACTGAAAAACATCCGAAAGCGCTACTAGGAGCAAAGGGCATCGCTACTAGGAACAAGGGCGCTACTAGGGGCTCCGGGCCTTACTACTAGGAGCAAGGTTCGCTACTAGTAGCAACCTTGCCCTTCGCCTCTCCGAACGTCCCGTCCTCTCCGATCCAGCCGTCCGATTCGGCGACCGATTCCGCGGCCAGGGTGCTGTTGGGAGACTGAATCATGCGCTTCAGCTTGTGCTTCGACTGGTGCCACGTGTCGACCCGGTGCAACGAACGGTCGAGAAACCCGAACGATTCGGAGTTCTCCGGAGTTCTCGGGGGTTTTGGTTCGCTGCTGCTCGATGGTGATCTGGAGTCAAGGGAAGTCATGCGCGAACTCCTTTCAGCGGGAAAACCTTTGGATGAGATTTGGATGTTCATTGTAAATTTATGATGGAAAGCATCTAATACCATAATAAGAACGTATAAATCCTTATAATATCATCATAATATAATATTCTTGATCTGACTGTGGAAGCTCCCTTATGACTCTGCATGGAGCATGTCCATTTGTCCAAAGCGCATTAATCGATCCTTGGCAAATCCTCAGCGATGCGGGAGAACTGGTCTATCTATTATCCGTTGCTCGCCTTTTTCGTTGGATTGAGAATGTTGAGAGTAGATGGCACTGAGCACCCCAATGTCGGTGGTTGGAACCATATTAACCCCAAGACGGGGTGCCACACTGGGTGCCATCTACTCATCTACTCTGAAACCGCTCGATCGATGGGTTGGAAGCCTCCTCCATCCGGGAAAAGCTCCCGGGAGAGCGGTGACGTGTTACCTCCCGCCTTCTCCTCTTTGGCATCGGGGTTCAGTAGGTCGATGTCCATGGCTGCGTTTCCAGGAGCCTGGGGTGTGTGACATTCATAAACCTAACCCATTTAATTTCTTAATTTGGATTGAAAAACCTCTTCAAATGGGTTATATGGGGTTATTAACCCAGAGTCTACATTACTTGTCCTCTATACTGTAAATGATTTGATGCCGGAGCAGTGAACCATTCCATTTCTCAGGATCTTCCCAGTTCAAATCAAATCAGGTTTTTTGGTTGGCAGGTGTGTTGAAGGTATGCGGAATGGACTCAAATCCTTCCTCTTTTATCTGGACCTGTATCGATGCCCAGTTTTGATGCTAAATCCTTGATGTGGAAGGGTCTCCGGCATTTTCAGCCTGGATTTCTATCAGAAGCAAAGCGCAACCCAGTATTATACACTCCCAGAAATAATAATGAAGCGGAAAAATGGTCCCTTGGACCACAATTTTCCTCTACAAACAGGTGGCTTTCCACTTATTATGAGTTCCAGGAGTGTGTGTTAGTCTTTTGATGTCTTTTGAGCCCAAAACCAGCATGCTTTGCTGCGTTGCTGGCCATCCACTTGGGCGTTTATGACTCCAAATTGGAATCCAAGAAAAAAAGTCTCCAGTTCGCATTATGTCAATCCATTCATTAGAGGGTGGTGGTTTCTCCTTTTTGGTGAATCCTCAACACGTCCTCTCCGCCAGTTTCTTTTTTGTCATCTGGGCTCTATATTTTGTCTTTATCTATTCTTGCTACAGGTCTTTCTCAACCACCCTTTGCCGCTGATCCGACTGGGGTCATCTGTGGCCACAGAGTCTTCCAAGCTCCAACCTCCCGGTCTTCACCTCCAAGCTCCAACACTTGGGACCGGGGTCCACCCCGCGCCCACCCGCGCCCAGCATTCTCTGAGTCTCCAACCGAGATCCCTTCCGTCCGACACACCGCTTTGAGCCACGAAAAAAGGGCCGCAGTGGTTCGATGATCAGCGTAGCTCAAAACCATGATGTGCTTTTTTTGCAGGACCAGACTCCCCCAAGGGGGCACAAAGGCCTATCAATTCATAGTCATCATCTATTGGTTGGGGATCGATGTCAATGAGTCATCCATCATATGCTAAAGGTTTTTTGCTTCAATTGAGGAGCCCGAACCCTGAGAATGGCCTCAAACCGGTCCGTGCGCTTCGTCGTGAAAACATCAGGTGGATTCCGTGGAAATGATCCAGTGGAGCAGATTGATGGGGAAATCCAGTCAACAAGGAAACTGGGTCACATCTTTAGTTCATATTCCCATGTAGATGCACACGGTGACGCTCTGTAACCTCTAGGGGCCTTCCCGGGATCTACTTTGGTTCCCCTCCACTTCCACGAATCCCATAAAACCTATCGTGGCCGGGTCGCCAAACGTTCGATTGGATCGATCCAGGAAGAGGAAATAGGAACAAGAAGCTACTAGGGGCTCCTGGCATCGCTAGATTCCACTATGTTCCACTCCAATCAATGCCTCGGGCGGACGAACCTCCATGTTGACTACTGTGAGACCTGAAGTAAACTCTTTGGAATCAAAGAAAAACCGAAAGCCGGTCTTGTTACAGTTTATGAACTGGACAATTCAAATCAGGCCTTGGAACCAAAACAACTCAGTTGGAGAGATCCAAACAACAAAAAACATGGAAGAATTGAAGATGGATCCCACCATGGGACCAATCAAGCCTAAGGTTTGTCATATCAAACTGATCAATCTGGAAGAGCCCTAAAATAGAAGTATCTAGAGGCTAACCCAGGCTACTGCAACTAACTCTTGTTGTCAAAACAACAAGCCCAAACTTGTGCTTCACTCTGCTCAACTCGCTTCAAAACCATCTCTCTACAGGCTAGGACCACACACAAAAGTATGTACCCCAAAACCAAAGGTCTCAAATAGATCCAACCATGCAATACTCAAACAACACCAAATCAACTGCCTTTTCCAACATCAGAGCGAAGCCTCCAGCCTGAGATACACCGCCTTTTTCTCCTGCCGGGGAACGTCTCTCTGACAAGACCTGCCGCAGAGCCAGCCGCAGCGCACGCAGCACACACGGCACACGCACAGCAAGGGACTCTAGAAACCCACAAACAAGGTGGTTTAATGCTTAATGTCCTGAAAGGTCCAGTTCTTCAACATTAAACGCAAAACACACTGCAAAACACCTATACGCTTAAAAGGCAGCAATCAGGTGCATCAGGCAAACATTTAGGGTGTTGTAGTATCAACACTTGCCTTTCTTCCCTGATTTGGTTGCGTTCGGGGGTGCAAGTCTGCGAGAAGCAACAGCGCATGCATCCAAGACATTCCCACCAACAAAAAACAAGGCACAAAAGTCGAACCAAAGGACGCCAAAACTTGTCGCAAAGGACCACAAGGTTCTGTACTGGGACTGCTTTTTTGTTGGGGCATGCAGGGAATCGTTTCCGCGACGAAGATCCCTACAAAACCAATGTTCTCCGCTGTGAGTACCTCAGCTGTTACTTCCTATTGGTTGAGGCATTGTCCATCATTGACTGTCTGAGGATGTCATAGATAGGCACTGCTTCATCAACAGAAAGAACAATCAACATGTATATGGTTCAAGTCTACTGTCACAGCCAGAATCCGCCACATACTGCCACACAATATCACACAATCATGCAACAAAACGGTCGTGTTACACGCACTTCTCCACCTTCTCCACTTCCCCAAACCCTTCCGGGTTGAGAAACTCGGACCAACCCTCACATGACTCAGTAGCGTCACACGACTCCGTAGCGTCACGTTCGTTGGACAGCCTGTCTCCCGAAAATAATCGAAGCACCGGCAAATTCGCGGGCCTGGTTACAAAGATGGTCTGAACAAGAAAACACTAAAGGAATTCTGTGAGGGGCCGTTGGAGCAATATTTGTTGTTTAATGAACTTGAGAAGAGGGATACACGAAAGGTAGGACAGCGGGAGGAAAATAAGCATGTAAAATATGCAGTGTGTTGTTGATGGAGTCGAATCAAACGTCAACTTGAGAATGGGGGAAAAGACCAAAGTTCGATATATACATAACATATATAGTGATATGATAATCCTCAACGACAAGAAGCACTAAAAACAGCATATCATGTCTCTGCATGGATTCAAACACTGCCCCAAGCTTCGAGCGCTCAACACCAAATAACCATCGAGGTGTCGAGGTGATCCACTTCGGGATGAAGCGGTCAAAGGGACACCAAATAAGAGGTGTCGAGGTGATCCACTTCGGGATGAAGCGGTCAGAGGGGGGGGGGTCTTAAATTAAAAATTAATTTTCAGGGGGGGGGAAGGGGGGGGTTGAATTGAACTATCAATTATTAGATTAGATCCGGAGGAGCCCACACTTGTTTCGCAAGACAAACTCAAGGTATCCCCTCAAAGGCTACCTTTCGTGATATGAACATTAATCTGGCGGTGCAGGAGTGGGTCAAAATGATTCCAATTGATCCCATACTTGTTCAAAAGTGTGTCAGAATGGCCCAACCATGCTTCTCAGGGGGCTCTGGCCCAAGTGGGAACCTCTGCCAAGTCATCCGACTTTGGGCTCCAGATCCGGTGAGCCCAAAGAAGCAGGACTGCCATCGGGTTGCTAAGGATGTTTGGATGAAAACGTCGTGACAGTCGGCACAGTTGACCCTTCGCCTGTTGCATCCACCCTTCGCTCACCTCAAATCCTGCAAGCACTTCTGGTAGCCACGGGCCCGCAGGAACCTGCCGATGTGGATGCGACAGGACCGTTGGGATGATCAATACACTCCTGAAAAAATGGAATGACCATACGCATCATACGGCCATACGAGCCTGGGGGGGGTTCCTGCGCGAATATCAATCCATGGACCCCAATGGATATCATGTATTTGATCATCCCACATGCTCAAGATGTACTTGGCTTGCATGGTCCACCCTTTGCATCCTCCCATTGTTTGTATTTTTGGTACTCAGAAGTTGCCAGCTGAATTGTCACAACTTGGATCTGCTCCCTGGACAGTTCCTTGGCTGTTGAGTCATGGCCCTACAATCCTAGTTTCTGATTCAAAAGGCTACAAGGTAGTCCTTGCTGGCGCTAAGGAGTGTCTCTTGCCCTGCAGTGTTCACAGAGCCTTGTGCATCGTTGTTAGATGTTTTATGATGTGTTTGTTTTGAGCTTTCTCAGTGATGTCCAAATCGTGTTAATAATTTGTACAAGAACTCAGGTGATGAATTAGATGTTAATCGATGAACGATCAAGCTGAGGACACGTCTGTCTTGCCAAAAACTATCAATCAAATTCCAAGCCCAGCTCCTGGTAGCCTGACATTGATACCATTGTTGTCAATTGTTATTTGTTCCGTGGTGGTGCATACTTGAGAACACCCAAGCAATCCTCAAACCATGTTGTTTCCCTTTTTGACCGTAGTCCTTGTTTGGTGCGACACATGCCTCCCCTATAAATCATGCTGAAAATGGCCACCTTTGCCAAACAATGTGATATCATGTGAATTTTCTGTTTTTGCAATGTTATATATTTATATAGCATATCATATATATACATACAAATGAACATGCTTGAACAATGTGAAACGGACCCAAAGCGTATAAGTCATCATCTTCGAGCGGAGCGCGGTGTTAATGACGTTGACGTTTCATTGTCGCAGGCGCCTTTTTCAGAATCCTGGGGCCTCACAGTTCGCTGCTAAGTACAGCAGCTTGGATGTCCTGTTTACAAACCTTTGGACACACACCCTCGACATCCGCAGCTAATGTGAGCAGTTGGGGCCTCAACTGGCTCACAAAATCGCCCTAGATTGGAATGGCTCTATATAAACAATTTTACCCTCAGTTGGCTAGCTATGCTACGCTACTAAAGGTTCGAATGAAAATCCCTCCAGTGAGCCACCAAAGGTATGCTGCATTGGTGGGCCATTCCATGGTTTCTTTCCTGCGGTTGGCCCACAACAGGTATGCTACATTGGAGCGGCTCCTTCCTTCTCTAAATGTTCCCCTCTACCTCGGAGGCAGCTACTTCTATGAATTTTACCCTCAGGTGGTATGCTCTTGAAGGTCTGCATTTGTTCCTGTCTTCATGGCAGGCACAGCAGTCGTTAAGCAGCCCCCGCTATATTTAAAAAGAAAACATGGCTGGGAGCCTTGATGCCCTTCTTGCTATTGATTCATCATAGAACATGGAACATGTCTGCAGTCTGAAGTAGCATGATAAAGGTGCTGCAACAAAGCTGGCCCCATGAGCCGCTTCATTAAATTTGCAAGTTAAAAAGTGATGTTTAGTTTTCTCTGTGGCGGAAATATAAGGAACCCTGGGAAATAGCTTTAAATATCGTAGAGGTTGTCGGTGCGGTGCAGCATGGTGTGCAGTGCAGCATGGTCGACATTAAAAAACGATCTGCTTCGTGGAAAGCGCTGCAACTGGAAGCATTAGTGCAGATTTCATGGCGCTGGCCTGGCCCCAGAGGGAACCAAAACTTTAAAAAGCAAAAGCAAATAGACTGAAAAGCAAATCAAGCAAAAGCAAAGGAAAACACCAAAAGCAAAGAAGCAACAAAAGCAATAAAAGGCAGCAAACGCAAACACGCAAAACCATACGAAAACTAAACAAGAAAAAAAATAAAGCACAAACACAAAATATGTAATCTTAAAAACCAAAAAACATGTCCATCCTCAATTTGGGGGACCGTGGTTTCTGCAACACCTTCACAGGCGGCACCTGGCATTGCGGTCAGAAATGAACTCCCCCACGGCTTCAGGATCCTGGGCACGGCATGGTCTGGCACCCACTTGGCACTTGGACAAAAACAGCCATCAATGAGGCATGAAAACATAGAAGAAGAGTGGTGACTCAAACAATCCAATTGGTGGAGAGAAAGACCTCAATTCAGGTTGTGATTGACTTGATGTGTGCAACACATTCTATGTACTTTGGAAGTGAGGAGAACCTTCAACTGTACTGGCTCCATTTTCCAAGCCTCTTGTGTCTGTATGTACTGGTTTTGAAGGTTCTCCCCAGCTCCTCACTTTCACAATTCCTGCTGGCAGTATGTGGCTGAACAGTAAGAAGTGAATGGGGGATACTGGCTGATGTCAGAGTAAAAAGTTGATGGAAAAAAATAACATGAAAATCCCTACTGACTGGAAGATCCTTCCTATTTCATAGTGGGGGTAGTCCTGACTTGGTGAAGAACATGGTTGGCTCAGAATGGGCACCCAAACATTGGAACAGTGGAACGGACCTGGTCCGGTATGATGTGGATCCCCATGGATTCAAACGGCAGAACCCTTAGTGGACATGCTGATTTATCTGCACATGATCTATTCTGGAGGTTCCCTAGTTTTGAGACAAGGGATCAAAACCACAAACCTCAAGCCAGGTGTTTGGTGCCCAGTAGTGCATATAGTAGTGCATATAGTATATATATATATACTCTGTTGTTTGAAACATCATGTGCAGGTATAAAGTTGCCCGAATAGCTCAAAATCAAGTTGAGCAGCATTCAAGTTATATATATATATATATGTTTGCATGTTTTTGCTTATTATTGGATTGTGCAGTTTCTGAAAACATGTTGCCCAAAGACCCATAGCCATAGACATCCAATTCACTAGGACAAGCATTTATTGTCACCTTACGCAATCGCATACCCAGATCTCTGTTATCAGCTGTGCACCATGGTCTGCATACTGCATACCGACCCTCAGAAAGAAATCTGACGGCAGCGGACATCGCAGGTTTCACCCAGTTTTCCTGTCCGCTTCGTCGTCGACGTGACGCTGCGTCCCTTTTCAGTGCTTCGATGTCATGGAGTCATTGGCACCCGACCCCTTAACCTTGGTAGCTTGCTCTATGATGTTCTCCCAAACGTCGTCTATTCTTTTCGTCCTCGAGAGGTGCGAAAAAGACCCGGTTTCTACAGTAGGACCCACCCAATTTCGGTGCTGAAACTGTGCGACCTCCTGGAGAGGGGATCTGATCTAATGACATCCGTCGGAGAAAACCCCAATGAAGCCGACCAATCTGTACTGTTCTCACACGACTCCGTCAACCTCCCCCCAAAGGAATACAGAACGTGTCAAGGACTGTGTCAAGGTGGTTCACCCACCTCGTTTCCTTCAGTCAACTTTCAGGTGCTGCTGAACCCTGCCGAGACGGGGCACGTCGAAGGTTGCCGTGCCCGGCACGCGGAAGGAGGCCAGGGCAGCGGAGACCTCCTCGGCGGCCAAGGATGGAAGCAATGTCTGCTGCTTCGACCATTTGCCAAATGATCCATTGCTCGACCATGCGTCTGTTTTTTCCTTCCAAAAGCCGAAACCGAACCGTTCCCATTGGATCCCTCTTGTTCGCTCCTCCTCCCTCAGGAGGTGAAAGGCCGCCCAAGGAGCGCGGTTCACGAAGTCCGCGGCATCCGATCCAACCTCTGCGGCTTCGAACGGTCGGACCGTTCCACACCCGGGTGGGACCCGTTATAGGGACGGTCGCCACCGGCCGAATCCACGGATCAAACGCCAAGTACCGAAAGCCTTGTACAAGGGAAAAAAAAGCTTGAGATGGGGGTGGGGATGCCAGGTCACCAGCTTTGATCTCATGAATCTGAATCTCAGTCTTCCCAACAGTGGTAACACTTTGTTCGTTGCTGGACGTTATCGGCTAACTCAAAGTGTTTCAGGAGTCGACCAAAATCACGAGTCCGTGTTCTATGACCAAAATCAATTTAAAGTCCCAGGGATTGAAATCCCTCCCGTGTCCTCTCTCTCGCACCATCGTCTCAGGCCGCTGACGGAGTCGCCGAAGCGGAACTGTGGATGAAAGGTGGCCATTTGCACCTCTCACGTCCCGTCACACCACCGGTGGTGACGAGGACCAGTGAAAAGTGAGGGAGACGAGGACCAGGCGAGGGAAGCTGGGTTGGGCTGGATCTAAATCACTTGTGTGTTTTTGGGGGGACATCGTGACATATCGTGACATCACGCGAATTTCCCGCCCAGCTGCCCAGTGCCTTGTGAATTGTTTAGGCACTTCAACAAGCCGAAAACCTCACCCTGAAAGGTCGATATAGTGTTCATCCAGCTCCTATTGGGTAGTTCCATATAGTTCCAGAGTCCAATGGGCGGCGCTGCTTCAAAGCAAGCTATGGCACAACAAAAAGACACTGGCTGCTTCAATGAGGCATGATGCGCATTCTCCTTTCCATGGCAGCACACAGCAGCACTAGTGAGCACTGGGTGTATGTGAAGTGGTTCCTGATTTCTGGTGGTCTGAAGGGCACTTAGCTTGTCATCCGCATGGCCGTGCAAGACCTCAGGCGGAGTGAGCGGAGTGACATCCCGCAGCGGTGATCCTTCCGTTCGCCCTGTTGGTGTCTGAAATGCCCGAAGGATTGCTGTCATTCTCTTGACATGTTCGTGCATCCAGTATGGGCTCTCTCAAAGGTGCCGACATCTTCGCAGATTCATGTTTCTCCTTCATCACCTCTGCAGAACAGAATAGGATCACCGTTACGCCAATGAATCTTTGCTCGGAGTCGTTCCCAGCTGCTGAATCGCCGTTCAGCCGCTGCGCAAAGAGCTTTCTGAAGCGATGTCCGGATCGGTCCGGATCCAGTCAGTCACCCAGGTAGTGCAAAGTGCGGCCCGCTCTGCAAGGGCTCTGGGACTGGCAATGTTGTCAACCCTCTTCCTTACAAAGGTAGGTCCCAACGCGCAGGGTCAGCGCAATTCAAGGCAACAGTTCTGAAGTGTAACTGCATACACTGAGTGTCACGCAAGTTGACACAACTCCTGCAGAAGCACGTGTGCCTCTGAGTCTTAAACTCCAAAGGAAGAGGTGGCAAGACTCTGGCAAAACCATGCCGGTGCCAGAGTAATTGTGATTGGTTCTACTTTCGTCTCATCTGCTTTTGTTCGTTCGATTGTGAGGGCGGTGCCCTGGGGATTTGACCGCGTTACCACAGTTTCTCTGTGTTGGATTGGGGCACGGTGCTCAAATGGGCCATGAGACCATCAGACAGTGGTCTTTTTGTCACCTGTACAGGGAAATGATCACCAACTGAGACGAATCAAGGTTCTGTGTCCGGGATGAAAATAGATCCACCATGTCCGGGAGATGCATACCTACGTACTGTACTTCTTAGCTCACGGAGCACGAAGAGTATGGGACTTGGAGGATCGCCTCAGCATCCTGTTGCGTGGGACGGTCAAGTGGCTGGGCACCGACGAAGAAATACACGTCCCCATTTGGGCCACCCGAAGCAAAAACTTTGCTCTTGATGAATTTGGAGAGAACCTAGTAGTAAGGGGACGCTACTAGGAGCAAAGGGCATCGCTACTAGGAGCAAGGACGCTACTATGGGCTCCTGGCCTTACTACTAGGAGCAAGAAGCTATTAGAAAGAAAAAGTGAGGAGCAAAGGGCATTGCTACTAGGAGCAAGAAGTAGGGGCTCCTGGCATCGCTACTAGGATCAAGGACGCTATTAGGGGCTCCTGGCATCACTAGCAGGGGGTGAGGCAAAAAGCGAACCCGAGTTTCCCCACCCCCTGTCTTAGACAGTGGGGTCTCTTCAGTCCCATCTGGGTCTCTTCTGCGGCGCCTGGCCATTGAGGTTCAGCTCGGTAAAGGCTTCTTCCAGCCAGGCACACAGCTCCAAGTAGACCTGCGCCATGATCGCTTAATGTACGCCATGGGTTTTAGATGGTTTTAGCATCTTCTACCCCCCTACACCCCCCAAAATTACAGTAATATGAAACCTGATGGCATGGTTTCACAAACCAGTGGTTTTCAGATTCCTTGTGGGTCTCTGCCAGGGTGTACATGCGCACGAACACTCCAACTCGGGGGGTCGATCGGACTCGACTCGACTCCGAACGTGGTTGCTATCTCCATGGGGCACCGGGCACCGGGTCAAGGGGTCAAGTGGTCTAAACATGTCAGGCAGTACCTAAACCAGTCCATCACTTGCAACAAATGCATCCTCTCAGTCTCGACAATTTCTGGAGGTGAGGCACGTCTGTAAAACGAGGACGGTCACGAAAACCACCCATACTAGCTTCTTTAGTTGAGCAAATAGATCATCTACTAGTTGAGCATATCGGTGCGTGTGGATGACTTCGGGGGTGTCTCGGTCACACAGTGGTTGCTTTGATGCAACAGTTTACACTGGCTGACCCTATTGAGAATACCTGCCAAGCAATGCCCCATGATTCCTCATGATCAGATTTTACCCTA